CCCACAAAAGGCCCCCCCCCCCCCCACCCAACCCACCCAACCATATATCCACGTCATTTTCAGTTTCGAGTAATGGATGTAAAAATGTTATAAATACAATGATTAATTATATTTCATATGTGTTTTAACAAAATTAATTAGCATTAATTAAAACAATAATAAAGTTTTGTATTGGATAAAGTATAAATGATAATTCTTTAATAAGTACAATTTTCCCTATAAAGTATAATGAATTTTTACATATGGGTTGAGTTTTGAAATAAAAAATAATTAAAAAGAAGGTGTACTTTAATAAATATTGATTTTCAAAATAATAAAATGTTTCAATGTCAAATGATGCACTTTTGTATGAACATAAGTGAAAAAGGGGTCAGATATATTCAGTTGCATAATATTTCATGGAAATATGTTACTAAGCTGGTCGTTATACAATAATAATAATAATAATAATAATAATGTAAATACATATTTTCTCGAAATATTTCATTAATTTTATTATGTTATATTGTTAAAATTTATTTTATATTGATAATCTATTTATATTAATGATCAATACATGTTTTCTTTCAACAAGATATACATTTATGTTGTGAATATTATATGATTCGATAATTCTGTCACTAAATTCATAAACTCACAAAATCCTATACATAGATGTTTTTCCAAATGTTTCTAATAAAAAGTAATCAATATTTGATAAAATATTTAAAATGAGAGTCTTTTAGGTAGAAAATAGATAAAAATATTACGTTAAGTAATATGTAATAATGTACCCTATATTTTGTATTAAAAGAAACAAAAAAAAAAAAAAAAAAGAAAGAAAAGAAAAAAAAAAAGAACTTAAAACTTAAAAGAATAGAAAAAAATGTAAATAAAATATATAAGTTGTTTTTTAGTATTATTTTTTTATTTTCAGTATTTTTAGTTTTCATATTTTTAATTAATAAAATTTTTATGACATAATCTTTTTTAATATTAACATTAAAGGTTTATTATTTATTATTATGGGATATCATTTTACTATCACATTATAGTTATTATATCATATCAGAAGACCTTACAATAATAATAAAATTTATAGCAACAGTGAAATTACATTCTACTTAACAATAGACAATTGTTTTCAATTTTAATGTTTCTACCTATTAATTTTATAATATTATGAAAAAATTAACAATAACAATATTATTATATTTTAAAAATCATTGAATTCAATTATATTTATCTCGTCACTGAATTTTATTTTATTTAAATTAGGCGAACGCATAGCATTCATTTTTTTTCTTTTTTTTTTCTAATAAAATAAGAAATTTATTTACTCTGTTTCTCAACTATTTTGAATGCTTTTTCCGTATGAAATATTACAGCACGTGATTCGCTTTTAAACTGCTCAGAGATGCTAACGATGTGTATCTCTATTAAAACGTAACTATTTATTGTGTCAAAGGACGAAAAAAGCCAGGATTATGTAATAAATTTACCGGGAAATATAGGAAAATCATAAGCAAATATATTACAATGAAAAATTAGCAATTTAAATTTAAGATGCCAAATTAAAAATTGCATTTAAGTTTTATGTACTTATAATTTTAAACTAGAGGAAGAATTACAATACATTAACAAAATGTATATTGATGAGCGTAAATCGAATATTATTGAATCACTGGATATACTTTGACTTTCCAAACGGTAATACACGTTATTACAAAATATAAATAGTTAATATAACAAGTTTGAGTCGTTAATTTTTGTTCTGTAATTAAACTTTATATAGTTGCTTAAATAATCAATCAAACATAATCTCGAATTTCGGTAATATATACTTTCATTCAATTGAAAAAATAATTTATTTGAGATTATTTGAAATTATTAGATTCAGTTGAATATACACGCTTGTAATAATGCAGAAATGTTTTAATATGAAATTTAATTTATAAATTTACTAATTATTTATATATATATATATATATATATAATTCTAAAATTGTTATTTTTATGTACGCGTGTGTATATTATTATCTTTTAAAGCTTGAATCGTAATCCGAAATTAAACAATTAAGCATTTATCCGTAGAGTTATGTAGAGTTTTAGATGAATAAATTAAAGCTTGTAAAAGGAATCAAATTATATATTGTTCTGATAAGTCGAAAAAAATTAATTTACGTATTTCATGTATGTAGCATACGTATATTTCAATTTTAAATTAATCAAAAATTTAATATTTATTTATTAAAAAATTCCATATCAACTGCTTAATTAGTTCTTTACTTTTGTTGTAAAGTTGAATAAACAGCAGCTTTTAGCTTTATGAATTATATTTTCTTCGTAAATAGTTTCGAATACATGTACTTAGTTATTTATATTGCCTATACATTATATATAAATTAAAGTTTTCACATAATATTACGTAATATACTTTTCTTCTACACTCGACTTTGTATATTCTGAATATGAGAGAAATGTAATTAATAAACAAAATAATTAAAATCTTATGTCTCGTTTGAAAAGAAAATTTATTGAAAATTTGAGCGACAAAATTTTTAAACGTTCACCCATCATTATCTTAAATAACTCAATTTTTACATTAAATAATATTACTTATAAATTATTACAATTGATCTATTCGTGCGATCGATGATGATCAATGAGCACCAAACGCAATGTTAATTGTTTTGATATATAATTACTTATATTTCATTCTCGTTGGTACCTGTATCGTTTAATTTGACAATACAATATGTTTTAAATACTGAGATTATTTTTTTCAAAGGATTAAACATCATAACGAATAGATTAATTATTACTGATGTTTATTAAAATTAATTTATTAAATAAATTTTTTTTTTTTATAAAATTCGTATTATCCATCAATATTTTCTGTATATTCAAAAATTTTATTTATTATTGCACTGACATCTATTATATTTGATAGATTCAAATATATTTTTACATAATTAATTAGTAAAAAATGATTTTTACAATAATATAAATACATGATTTTTTTTTTTTTTTAAATATTCATCGAAGTAATATTTAATAGTAATATTTAAATTTAATTGATATCGACTATTATTTTATATTTGATTATATTTCGTGATATTTCATTGAATTTTCTAAATCTGTTAGCGTCCAGTATTATTATTGAATGTCATAATTTTAAATAATTGGAAATATACAATAATTTCATGGCATCGTTATTTTGAAATTAATATTATTGATATACTTAATTTTCTTATTACGTTTTTTTTTTCTTTTCATTGATAGAATATTTATTTCAATTGTTTGGAATTATGAGTTATTTCTAAAAATTACAGTTTTCGTAAGATGCTCGAATAAGAGTTGAAATAATAAGTTCAATTAAGAAATAGAAAGTTTTATTGCAACATGGCTATCATAACGTTGAAATATTTATTATCTTCGTACTTACCATCAAGATAGAAGTAGCTGGAATTATTATAGAAGTTCGTAATAACGGGTTTGATATTGTCGAAAGTCATTGTGCGCAAGGAATTATCCCGAAGATCGAGAAGATTTAGAGATGGAGCACCAACAAGGAAGTCCGGCTCTAAAGTGACAAGTCTATTTTCGCTGATTCTCAATTTTTTTAGCTTCCTCAGTCCATCCAACGCTTTATTCGATATAAATTTAATCTTATTTTGATCAAGATCAAGCTCCTGTAGATCCGGAATCTCGATGAAACAGCGATCACCCAGCATTGTTATAACATTGTTACGCAAATCTAGGCGTTGGAGCATTCGCAAACCTTGGAAGCTGTCGCCTGTCAGTACCGATATCTTATTGTTATTAAGCTCGAGTTCTTGTAGGGAGGGCAGATGTTTAAAAGCTTTTTCATGAAGTAGAGAGACATTATTATGATTTAGGAAGAGCTTCTGTAGTCTTGGTATGTCGTAGAAAATATCTCTGTAAATAATCGAATGAATTTATATTATTTGAAAGGTTTAGTAAACTTCGACCAAACTTATTTCTAGATAATTTCACGAAGTTTGTCGAGTTTTCAATTAGAAAAGTAAAAAAAGTTCTTATAATGCCAGAATTTTTAAATTAACATTTTATAATGAATTGTATATATATATATATATATATATATATATATAGGAATTGTATGAGAAAAAATAAAATAATATAATAATGTTGAAAGAATATGTGCTCGTACCTGCTAAGTTCTGCAATGAAATTTTCGTCCAGATTGAGCACTGTCAAGTTTCTCAGACCCTCAAAGGCATGCCACTTCAGAATACTGATAGAATTCTTGTTGAGATTAATCGTTGAAACTGTAGGTAAACCAGCGAACGACTGACTTTCAATAGCCTCTAATTTAGCATGTTGGAAGCTTATGGTGTTCAAACTTTTTAGTTGCCGGAATACTGCCGTAGGTACGTAAGTAATACTACCGTCACTTTTAACAACGAAACTTAGTTTCTTGATGTACATCTGCGAATTAAAATGCGCCCAGATGGGATCTTGAAGCTCGAGTTTGTTGAAGATAAGGCAGTTGGCATCTTCGGCACTGGCTAGCTTATTATCATTGCAGTAACAGTAAAGTGGACTATCTGCCTGTTCGATGTCGCAAACGTTAATGTCTTTAGCTTCTGTGTCTTTAGCTACTTTTTTGCGATTGCGATTTTTCATTGTTATCGATTCAGAAATGCTTATGGTTAGATTCAATAAGAAAATACATAAGACCAATAGCCTCGGATTATAGACAAAAGTTTTTATGGCCATTCTGAAAAAAAAAAAAAAAAAAAAAAAAAAAAAAAAAAAAAACAATAAATTATAATACTCGTTTGAAGATTTTCATTTATAGCTTCGTTTATTTCATTTATTAATTAAACATAAGACTAAATTATAATTTAAATATAAACATTTATGAAATAATGTTATTTCATTATGGTTAGTTTAAGGTTTGAAAATTAGATTTATAAGCTTGGTTATTTATAAATTTTTCAAATGTTAACATGTGCAGTCGATTTTATATTATATTAATTTCATAACATCAACATACCTAAATAGTATAATAATATCAAAACATTAATTAGTGTAACAAAGAAAAAAAGAAAAAAAAAACTGTAATAAAACGAAGAAGAATTAGAGAAAACGTATTATTTAAATAGTGTGTGATGTAAATCAACTAAATAAGGCTTTTTTTTTTGGATGAAAATAAAAATAACACATATGAAATAATTTTCTAATTATAAATCATAAGCTAAAAAAGTCATTGTAATGTAAATTAATAAGAAAGTTAAAATTATATAAATATATGTTTTTCTATAATTCATTAATTATTAATTGATTCATATATATTTACTTAAAATGGAAAATATTACCTAAATTCAAATAAATATACTAAATTATATAAAGTATAATTATTGACATGCAAACGTAAATTACGTATTTGACTATTTGTTAAAAACTTTATTTTATCTTAACAATCAAAGTCAAATGTATATGAAGGAGAAAGCAATGAATTGTATGCAACAGCGTCAGCAAAAATTGTATATAATGTATTTGTTTATTTAAAATACAAATTAAAAAAATTATACAACTATTATGAATAGCGTTTAATATAAATATTAATTAATATCTGTTTTTTTTTTTTTTTTTTTTTTTTTTTTTTTTTTATATAAATATAATATAATTTATATAAAATAAAATACAAAATATATAAACGAGTGAAATTATCGTAATAAATCTATTTTTTCTAATCGACGAGTCATTCGTTAAAATAACAACCTTACGCGAGAATCTGAAAAACGTGAAAAACTTTAGTATCGCGAAAAAAAATATACGGATTTCCATATGCATTTTTTGTCGTATAAATACATTAATACACGCATACATCCATGTAAATATAAATATGTATGCGAATGGATGTTTCGTAAACAATTGATTTCCAAAATAAATTTCATAGCTTTTATAAGGAAAACTTGTAATATTCCTTTAACGGTATTTATTTTTTACGAAATTGAAGTTAATAATTAATGCAGTAGATAGGAAGAAAAGTACGATAAAAGTATCAAATACACAAGAGTAAATGCAGTTCCAATTATTTCAAGAATTTTTTTCACTCTAGTCATCATAATCCCGTGATTTCAGCTTCAAGGTAATTCCCAAAGATGCACTCCAAAAGTCGTCGTCAACCTTTAATATTAATATTCGTGTTTCTATACATGCATATGATGAGATATTATTTTTCGCAATTTTTAAAAAGATTCGCATATATGTACGCGCACAGATGCGTATGTGTTGTTAAATGGTTCTTGCTTGCGGTATAATAAATAATATCGATAAAAGAGAATGGATTCCTATAGAATAATTACCTTGTAACAATATGTTACAATAGATATTATAATATTATTAAATTTATTATAATAATTTAGTGTATTTAAGATAAAATTCAATGCAAAAAAAAAAAAAAAAAAAAAAAAAAAAATTGACAATAAACAAATCGTAAACAATAAATAAATCTTAATTTATTAGTTTATTAAAGAAGAAATTTTATGAAACATGATGAATCACATCATAAACCAGTATATTATTTATAAAAAAAAAAAACAAAAAAACAAAACAAAAAAAAAATATATATAATGTCACTTCTAGTTTGAAATATAATTGTAGAAATATTGATTAAAAAAGTGAATTTGTGTGTTAAAAAGTTATTTTAAATTTTTATCGAGAAAATAATAATTTTCAACCTCAAAAGAATTTAAGAATACAATCATTGAAAAAAATGTAGCTATAAAAGAAAAAAGAAGTAGTTGCAAATAACAAAAAAAAAATATATATATATATATATGTAAGTATGTATGAAAGCTCGGTAAGAGTGAGGGAGAAGAATAAAAGAAGGTAAAGAAGATAGGGACGGGGCTGCAGCTCAGAAAGAAAATAAAGAAGGGAGAGAAAGTGTTTTTCTTTTAGCATCTCGCGGAACGAAGTCTCCCGAAAAAGGATAGCGTACGGACCTTTTCATAGGTGGTGAACCTTTGAAAAATTATCATCTCAAGTGGAAAGACTTGCATAATACCCAGCAGCCGACACCTCGTGTGTCTATACTTCTATTTTAGAATGAAGAGTTTGTCCGGAAGCCTCAGACACAGGAGATGAGATGCTGCATCTTTCCTTTTTCCCCCTGTACTTTTTTCTTTTTTCTTTGTTTTCATTTTGAATTTTACAAATATAAGAGAAAACTAGGTGGGAGGGATACTTTATCTAAGTTCAAATAATTTTCTGCAAAATTAAAGATCGTTTTAATTACACGATAATATTATATTTCCGTCATAACAGTTTTTAGTGAATTTTCTTCTTTGTCATTTTTACCAAATTTTTTCATAAGTCTTTGCGTTAATTACCTAATGAATGCCCTCATCGAGTACGTATCAACATATACGGAGTAACTAATTAACAAAGGATTGTCATTTTCTGGCAATTGCATTGTGTCATAAGAATATAGTGCACAAACGAAATTGGGAAAGCTATAAAAGTAAAAGAAAAAAGAAAACAGTAAAGATTTTTCATTTCCGTGTTTTTTTTTTTTATTTTGTTTTCATATGTAAGCAAAATTCATGTAAGCAAATTGGTGTATTCATAAGATTTGATTTGATTGCTTATTAATATAACAAGTTGGTGATTAACATTACAATTAAAATATTTCCACATCTCATTTATTTGGACATTCGACATCCAAATCGTTTTGACTCTTCTAATACATTATATATAGTCAATATATTGTCTATTATTAATCTATCATTATTTCTATCATCTATCTATATTATATCTATATTTATATATCTATATCTATATATCCATCTATAATCTATCATCTATCATTAATCTATTAATCTATCATTAATCTAACATCTCAAATACTATCAATCTAATACATTATATATAGTCAACATATAGTCAATATACAGTCAACAGTAAACATAGATAGGAATTATCAAATCTTCATTAGTCATTGACTTATTAACTTCTCTTCTCTATTCTCACACTCGAACGTGTACTTTTCTCTCTCTTTCATTCACGTACGAATAATCATAATAATTAGGGATATATACGTGTGTGCGTGCGTGTGCGCGCGCGCGGTTTATTCCTACACGTAGAAAGGGAAATGTCCATCAAGCACGTTATACAGCAAACTGCGACCTATCACGCCATAACACTTCCATCTCTATTGGACAATTCATATCCTGAAATAGAGTACTAATTTAACATAACTAAGGATATTACATGGGGGAAAAAGTATTTTATGATAATAAAAATACTTTAGTTACTTCGATATAGTAGCGATCATATTTTGTCTCTTCTAAATTCATATATATTTTATTCTTTATAATTATAATATATAAAATTTAAGAGTCCAATATCACGTGCATTTATAAAAAAAAAAAAAAAAACATTCGTGCGACTGAATATATAAAGATGCGATAATAAAAATGTTTTATCGAATGAAAAGTAATATTCATTTGGCTTTTTAAAAATACAATTGGAAATTCATCCAATAGACTAGTTCTATTACATTTTACGTATAATTTGAAATTTCAAACACAATTTCCATCAACGACCGATCTAACAATAAACCTTACCAAACTAAAATCGATACACTCTATCTTATCTTGCATAATGCACGCTTCAAATCATACAGGTAGATTACATTTATACATAGCTTAAGCTTATGCGATAGTGGAGGTGTATTTGCGCATGCGAGTAGGGAGCCGCTCTGTCTCCGTTTATTTGCCATATGCTTAGGAACGTGTGTATTTGTCAGCCATTAAAGCTTTATCAAGATGAGCCGAAATTACACTAGAAGGACTCGCCATAAAGAGTACACGTTCCTTATAGTTTTGCTTTTCTACTTCCATTGCTACTTCATTCATACAATACAACTATTAGCCTTCAATCCAAATTTCTCTACGCGAATCGACAATCATACAATTTCCCTAAAAATACATTAAATTATATATATATATATATATATATATATATCGCTGAGGAAATTTTTTGTTCTGATAAATTTGGATATTTCGATTAGCCAACGCTTTGCTCAAACAATAAATAATACCTTATAAACTTGATGAAATTTATGAAATTTACCCTCTTTTCTTACTTTTAAACGTCAAGCGATACAATACTTCATTAAATTAAGAAAACGATTTGTCAACGATTGAAAAACTAAAATAATAATTTATGAAACCATTTTGTCATAAAGAAAACGTTATTTCATCCAAAAATCTCATTGATCCAGATTGCACACAACCAAAACTGTCTTGATTTGCCTTCAATCTCCGTGAGACTGTAATTTGATCGATATCGAGTCTCATCATAGGATTTATCCATGCAGCCAAACTTTTAAATGAAATTCCTTCAAAATATCTAAGATGCATCATTTCTCCCTCATCTCTTTTTATCTTTCTTCGAAAATTCCTATTAATTTTGCAGGGAACAATTGCTTCTGGCCCTTCGACTCTTTTTAGCGTACCGAGTATTATTATAACAGTCATAAGACGAGTTTTCGCACTATTTCCTCCATTATTTAACAGACTTTACAAAATTATTGAACAATTTTTCAATGACGACAAATCAATAAGTATCTTAATGGATGAAATTTATACGAGTTATATGAGTTTATACCACTTTTCAAATGGATTACTAAAATTGTACTAAAATAAATAAATAAATACTACAATTTCAATCATTTAATTCAATCTTCTATTAGTTTTATTTAAA